GCATTGCTCTCACAAAGCAGGGGCTGGGTGCAGGGCAGGGGGATCTCTGTTCTTCGCTGCTCCCCTGCGATGGGGAATTGCTGCAGCTGGGAAAGCTCTGCTTTAGCTGAGTATGCTGCAAACACAGGGATCCTGTTTTGGAAAGGGGTTGGGATTGTCTCTGTGTGTCTGCACAGCTCCAAGTTCCAAGCTGGAACACACAGGAATCTTAACTTCTGCCAAGCCCCAGGTGAAAGCAGGTGGTTCTGCATTACTAGCAGCATCATTTCTTGGATGTAAAGCACTATTTTGAATTTCCAATACATAACTCAGTTCACTTTGCTCCTGGACTAACAGATGGATCTTACTGGATGCCCTGAGCAATGTGGATACGTGGCTGCTTAGCCAGGAGTCGCTGGAATAAGGCCCTGTTCTGGCCCTTATTCCAATATTATGTGGGCAGCAGAGGTACCAAAGACACTGAGAGTTTTTTTTTCCTACATGCAAGAGCTGCAGAATTTGGCCTGAGCATCTGATATGAGACAGCATTTAAAGTACATCCGTGGGCTGGGTGTTATGTTTTTGCAAAATCATGGCCTGAGCTCAAGCAAAGATAAGCAGGTCAGGAATATATTTAGGCAGGAAGCCAGAGGAGCAGCCTTCCAGTTGGAGCAGCTGCTCGTACGAAGATGAAGCACAAGGAATCTTTGTACATTTTCCATCCTGAGCACAGTGTAGTCCTTCTGCAGTCTCACATTGCTCAGGTGCTCTCCTCTGCCAGCCTGTGCCATGTGGGGAATGAAAGGGAAACAGTGAAAAATGCTGCTTTAGTCCCTAAGCCCAAACACTGGGGCATGGTTTGAAAAACAGCACTAATCTCATAGGCCGTTGCTGAAATACTCTCCTTAGCCCATGGTTACAGCAGCACATCCTGCACCCATCAGTGTCAGGCCCTGCAGCAGCCTGGTCAGCACTGTGACAGCCCCCAATGTGGAGCCCAAGCCCAGGGGACATCAGGCAGGACAATTCCCTGCAAGGAAGTTGGGCTGAGGTGGGGGGTCAGACTGCGCTCTCAGCTAGCACTGATAGGATGAGAGGTCACAGAATCACAGAATCACAGAATTGTAGGGGTTGGAAGGGACCTCCTGAGATCATCGAGTCCAACCCCCCTGCCAAAGCAGGTTCCCTACAGTAGGTCGCACAGGTAGGCATCCAGGCAGGTCTTGAACATCTCCAGAGAAGGAGACTCCACCACCTCCCTGGGCAGCCTGTTCCAGTGCTCCGTCACCCTCACTGTAAAGAAGTTCTTGCGCATGTTTGTGCAGAACTTCCTATGCTGCAGTTTCCAGCCGTTTCCCCTTGTCCTGTCTCCACTCACCACTGAAAAGAGTCTGGCCTCGCCATTCTGCCCCCCACACCTCAGATATTTATAGACCTGGATCAGGTCCCCTCTCAGTCTCCTTTTCTCAAGGCTGAACAGACCCAGTTCACTCAGCCTTTCTTCATAGGGGAGATGCTCCAGGCCCTTCACCATCTTCGTGGCCCTCCGCTGGACTCTTTCCAAGAGATCCCTGTCTTTTTTGTACTGGGGAGCCCAGAACTGGACGCAGTACTCCAGATGAGGTCTTACCAGGGCAGAGTAGAGGGGGAGGATCACCTCCTTTGACCTGCTGGCCACGCTCTTTTTAATGCACCCCAGTAAGCCATTGGCCTTTTTGGCCACAAGGGCACACTGCTGGCTCATGGCCAACCTGTCGTCCACCAGGACACCCAGGTCCCTTTCCGCAGAGCTCCCCTCCAGCAGGTCATCCCCCAACCTGTACTGGTGCATGCAATTATTCCTCCCCAGATGCAAGACTCTACACTTGCTTTTGTTAAACCTCATCTGGTTTTTTTCTGCCCAGCTCTCCAGCCTATCCAGGTCTTGCTGAATGGCAACACAGCCTTCAGGCATGTCAGCCAATCCTCCCAGCTTCGTATCATCAGCAAACTTGCTGAGGGTGGCCATTATCCCCTCATCAAGGTCATTGATGAAGATGCTGAACAAGACCGGACCCAGCACAGACCCCTGAGGAACACCGCTAGTTACAGGCCTCCAACCGGACTCTGCACCACCAACAACGACCCTCTGTGCTCTGCCAGTCAGCCAGTTCTCAACCCACCTCACTGTCCACTCATCTATTCCACACTTCCTCAGCTTTGTTATAAGGATGTCATGGGGGACAGTATCAAATGCCTTGCTGAAATCAAGGTAGACTACATCCACTGCTCTCCCCCTATCCACCCAGCCAGAGACAACATCATAGAAGGCTACCAGGTTGGTCAAGCACGACCTCCCCCTTGTGAACCCGTGCTGACTGCTCCTGATAACCTCCTCTTCTTCCAGTTGTCTGGAGATGACATCCAGTACAAGCTGTTCCATCACCTTTCCAGGGACAGAGGTGAGGCTGACTGGCCTATAATTGCCTGGGTCTTCCTTCTTGCCTTTTTTGAAGACCGGGGTGACGTTGGCTATCTTCCAGTCTTCAGGCACCTTCCCCGTCTTCCAAGTGATGGCCTTAAGCTGTGCCATGGGAGGGTCAGGTTGGCTGTTAGGAAACAACTTTTTCTCCAAAAGAGTGGTGATTCAGTGGCACAGCTGCCCAGGGGGGTGGTGGGGTTGCTGTCCCTGGAGGCGTCCCAGAGCTGTGGAGACGTGGCTTTGAGGGATGCGGGTGTGGGGGGGGTGGGCTGGGGTTTGTCTTGGGGGATCTTAAAGCTCTTTTCCAACCTCAGTGATGCTGTGGTTCTGCGATTCTCTTCCCCTCTCCTGAGCAGGCTCCAGCCCAAGGTCTTGTGCCATGAACCCCTCATCCTCATGAAATCCTCTCCAACCACCATCACAGCCAGTCAAAGTAATCACCGTCACAATCACCACATCCATTCCAGCTGCCACAATTGAGATTACGCATTCTCCTGAGCTCCTCCAGCCCTATATATTATGCCTCAGAAGTTTTTGCAGGGTACCATTCCCATGTGAATGAGTATGGCTTCAAGTCCTGCCCTTAAGCTTTGTCCCAACACTGCAGCTGTCCTACATCAGCAAGCTGTGGGGTCGTGGCTGCCCGCACCATGCCTGCAGAGTGCGCCTGACCTTGGGAAGCACTCACCCAAATGTCCATCCCACTCACATCCCCCAAACGGGACTTAAGCAATAGTGCAGCAATGCCTGGAATGAGTGTTCCTGCGGTGAGCGGAGGGGTGAAGCTGTGTTCCCAAAGCCAGCACTATAAATGGGCATCACTGAGCAGATCCCATTTAAAGGGATTTCACTACAGAGAAAGTGGCAGACAGCCTCATGAAAAAGAAACAGCCTTAGGATATCTTCAAAATACCTCCTGCTGTAGAGGGAATGACACTGCTGAAAGCTTTAAGGGAAGGAGGAAAATCTGGTGTGCACTTCTCTATTTTTGGTGCTTTTAGTTCCTGCATCCCAGCACGGCCCTGTTCACTCCCAGCTCTGTTGCTGCCTCCCTGCACAGCAGCAGCTCAGTTACAGTGCAACAGAGGAACCTTTGTGTGGTGGCATTTTTTTTCCCCCGAGGTGGAGATTTATATTCACATCGAGGCTTGCGCAAACATATTTCTTACAGCACTTTACAAACCGGTAGCTGGAAATGTCACTTTGCTGCTGAGTCAGTGGGAGGCTGATGCATTGAGGACAAGGGGCTGCTGTGCATCCCCCAGGTCTGCGGGCTGAGAGCAGCCGGCAGTGCTGGGAGAATGATTCAGCATCTACAAATGCTTAAGGATCAGCAAGCAAAAAGCTTGGAGTGGTCTGCAATCGGAAATGTTTTGCATGACAGGCAGCAAGGCAGCCAGCCATGCTGTTTCTGATGGCTAAATCAGAACAGCAATGCTTACCCTGTTGCTCTTTCAGATTTGCACAATTTCAGGCGCAGCCAATTGCATCCAAGCTGCTTTCCCAATCTTGTTCTCTGGGAAAGGAGCTCATGGGCACAGGCACGCCACCTGCGTGCACATCTACATGGATGGCAACAGATCTATGATTTATTCAAACAAAACCAACATGGACTGCCAGCCCTCCGGAAGGACTGAGCTGGTTTTGGGACAGCCTCTCTTCTGCTTTTTTGCTCCAAGGGACATAACTCACGCGTTCATCATGGGTGGATTTTGGGTCATTGCACAAGGCAGTGCTGTGCTCAGAGCTTCCTTCCTTATAGCAGAACAAGCTCAAGCCTCAGCCTGTCTGGACATCACTAAACCAATACTTGCATTTATCTGTCAAGAATCACACAAGCAAGAGACTGGCAGCAGAACTACAGGCACTGATGGACTCCAGCAGTTACCCATGGCCCTGCAGAATGGTGGCAGATGTCAGCATGCAGGGGCTGGGTGAGGGCAGCATTACAGGGCTGGATGGATTGTGGTGTGCGAAGCATGATTTCCCTCCAGCAACTTGCTACATGTGCTTTGATTCAGAAAAAAAAACACACAACATGATTTGTTTGTTTTTATAGTGATGGGACTGTCCTAACTACGAAATATGTGTCACCTCCAAACTCCTGGAACACCTATGCATGGAGGTATGGGGGCACTAGCTCAGAAGGTCTGCTGGAAAAAGGCAAGAGGCAACACAAAAATAATTAAAATAAAATAAAGGTCCAATAAGAGAAGGTGAATTCTGTGCAGTGCACTGCAAAGAAAAAAAAAAAATTGGTGAATTTGTTTCTCTTGGTAGCACTTCTGCTTATCGAGGGATCATCAAAGGGAGGGGATGATTTTATAGTTGCATAAAAAATCCTTCCCTCCTTCAGTTGTCCTGGTCTAAGGCTGTCTTCTTGCAGAGGGACCTTTTTCAGGTTTATATCCCTTTCTCCTTTCCTTCCCATCCCTTTACCCCAGCAGCCCAGGGGAGGCGTTGCGGGGCGCAGTGCGGAGCGGCTCTGCCCGGCAGGCGGCACTGCGCGCCCGCGGCTGTCTGCTCTCAGCGCCGGGCCCAGGAGCCCTGCTCTCTCCCTGCTTGGCTGCAGTGAGTCTTTTTGCTTTATCATTAATGTTATCATTATTGTCTCTATTAATATATATACGCATACTTATCTTTTTTTATTATTTATTTTTATTTTACCTGGCTTGCTCTAAGAAGATGGAAACACAATGTGGAGAAGATGCCTGTGCCAGTTGTGCGTCCAGCTGGGGGTTTGGCTTGCCATGCTTCCCCCCCACGTGAATGGGACAAACAAACCCTCAATAAAATAAGAGCAGTGCCAGGCAGAGAAAGTGGCTGTGGGAAGGAACCACACAGGGCACGTGCTGTCTCTGGCACTTCTGCTTCAGCTCTGCTGCACGTGTGCAAGGAACAGCCCTGCCCCAGTGCAGCACTGCTCGCTCCTCTTCAGTCCCATCCCAAGCAGCAGCACTCCATCACTCGATGCTGAAGGCCATGATTCAGAAAAATTGCATGAGAACAGTTTATCCATATGAAAACAAGCTCTCTGCATGAGCTGCTGGGCTGGGGCTGTGCCGTGGGGCACAGCCAGGAGCACACACCTGGCTCTGCTGGGGACATCGGACACCTCAGGCATGCTGTCCTTTCTCATGCTCTTGTCCCTTCCCTCACTGGGAATGTGTCTCACCTGCTTGGCCCATGTGCTCGAAAGGAAATCCATGGGCTTTGCAGCTCAAACAAGATCCACACCTGTATGAAACCCAGGTCAGGACTGAATTGATGCATAGGGACAAAGGGACCTGCAGTGCTCAGGTGGGCCAGGTTCTGGGCCACAGGGAGTGAGGTTGGGGTCCCTCCTCCCAGCACCAAATCCTGAGGAAGAGTATGGTCCCTCTTCCTGGCACCAAGGTGAAGGTCCATGCTTGAGCCTCTCCCAGGAGCACCCAGGGAGGGTTCGAGGGTGCTCTACTCCTGAAGTAGTTCTTATGGGTCCTTGTGGACAGCAGTTGCTCTCTTGGTGTTGGTGAAATACTGGATCTGAGCTCTTCTCCTTCAGTTGCAGTGTCCATGTGTCTCTGCACCACCCAGTTAACTCTCCTCAGAGGGGTCATGGTGGGAAGCCAAGCAGCTCTCCGCTTTCTCTGTCATCCCCAGCGAGCACTGCTCCACTTTGACTTTCTTTCTTCCTCTCATTGCCTTCTTGGAGCCTGTTAACAGCAAGATGAGCCCAGGAGTTCACTGCAGAGTAATGGATTTGCACATACAAGGCCGATGCGGTCTAATCCCAAAACAGGGACTCCACAGGGGGAAAGCAAAGCTCAGCAAAAGAGAGTGTGACAGGGCCATATGTGAGGCTTGATGGCCACACTGGCTAATCCTCATCTTTATCAGGAACAGCTCTCTGCTCATTCAGCTGTAGGAAGTGTGGGCCCAACGCATTCCTTTGTCAGCCAGGGAAAAGCTCTGAGGCCACAGTGGAAAGTCAACAGAGCTGGCAGAATCCTTGATCTGAATGTCAACAGCTTGCTGCTGGGAATTTGGCTGTCCCCAGCCAGCTCCTCCCAAGTGGTGAGCAAACAGGAGGGACATGGAGCTGTTAGGTGCTCAGGGTGCTCTCTGGCCAACAAGCATGGCTTAAGTTGGAAGGAGCCTTAAAGATCATTCAGTTCCATTAACAGCTCTGCTCTGACTGGGGATACTGCTGCCAAGTGAACCATAAGACTCTACTGTGTCACGTTGAGCATAGATGTGCACACTGGGGTTTGTTTGCAGAAGAACACCCATGAATAGGAAAGTGCCCAGAGCCCTCGGGTGCTGCATTGAAGGAACCCCTCAGGAAATAGAATGAGAAACTCCTTCCTCACCTTTTGTCCAGGAATCCTGTCCTCTTCTCTTCTTCTGCAGTGCATGAGCTTTGTCTTTGGTGCAAAAATATTTCCCTTCTGACTGGGCTTCTTGCAGGACGTCGCGTTCATAGGGAGAAGCCACCTGCACCAATGAGAAGAACCATCAATCTACAAAATACCTGATTGCCAGTGCACTGACAGCCTGGCTGAATTGCCAGGGACCTGTGCAACCATCACCACAGAGTTGTAACAAGGTTTGGTGTTCAGAAACCTATCTACAAAGAGTGACATATCTACCCCTCAGCAACCAGTTGGGTAACAGAGTGGAAATGGGTCTTGGCACCCGATGCAGGAAGAGCTGTCACCTCCTGGAGGGAGTTGGGCAGGGACAACCCGTCCTGCACCTTCTGGTGCTCCCAGAACAGGAATTCCTGGTCCAAAGGCACTGTTTCACCCAAGAAACCAAAGCCAACCAACCTCGCTGTCTGTTGTATCTGCCTCATCAGATTCCTGCTTTGTGGACTCATCATCATCACCATCATCATCATCTAAGGAAACACAAAATTAAGGGTTTTTGGTTGGCACAGGGGGCAACAAGCACATGAATATGATACAGAGCCATAGGACCAGGCTTGGAGAGCCTTCATTATGAGGTGTCTGCATTCATAGAACCACAGAATCATTGAGATTGGAAAAGAACTCTAAGATCCCCAAGCCCAACCCCAGCCAACCCCACTGTACCCACTGTCCACATCCCTCAGTGCAACACCTCCACAGTTCCTGAACACCTCCAGGGATGGTGACCCCACCACCTCCCTGGGCAGCTGTGCCACTGCATCACCAGTCTTTTGAAGAAGAAACCAAAAACTGTTCCTAACATCCAACTTGGACTTCCCTTGGTGCAACTTACAGCCATTACCTCTCTTAAAATAAAGTTGCACCCTGTCATGGCTGGAAGCTTTGGCAGGAGGAGATGTGGTGTAGCCTCTTCCCTGCTCAGCAAAAGAGGTTTTGCCACACACAGCCCCAAGGCCACACAACTCCTGGCATGTATCTGCACACACCTAGCTCCTGCATGGGGCCAGAGCCCAGCATTGCCCCATCTGCACACCCCTTGTACCAGCAGGGTTGGAGCTGTGTCCTCATCCCTGCCCAGCACTTTTAGCATCCCTAGAACCCAACCCCATCCTCATGCTGTCCTTCCAGGGGTTAAAGGTCCACTAGAAAGCACAGGAAGTATTTGTGCACTTCTTCCTGGGCTTTGTGTCAGCCTTCAGGTGAGAACTGAAGAAAGTTCTGTGTTTTCCCACACCCAGAATGTAATCAGCTGAAATTCTTCTGCTATGATGATATCTCCTTAACATGTAAATCACACAGGGCTTCCCTCCTCCCCCCCCCTCCCCCCCTTTTTTTTTTCCCCACTGTGCAAAATCCCGCTCCCAGTGTTCCCAAACCACTCCGACACGCCCAGACCAACTAATCCAGGTGAACTCAACATTCTAGCCAAGCCAGTAGGGCTGGTAAGGATCAGCTCCACACGGACGTGTTGCCCACTGTGCTCCCCATGGCTTCTGCTTCCCCCCACCAGCAAACCCAGCCCTGCCCCATAGCCATCAGTGAGAGGGAGCACCTCAGCCAGAGGGCACAGCTCAGTTGAGGGATGGAAAAAGGTTTTGTAGGGGTTGGGGTGGGGAAAAAGGAAGAATGCAGGTAACAGCATCCCTCCCCCTGTGTACAAGAGCAATTTGGGAGGATGGGGAGCACCTGTTGTGGTCAGCAGGCACTGCAGGTGTTTGCAAAAGTTGTTTCCCATTGCAGGTTGCCTTCACACACACACCAAAATGCACCTTTGGCATTTGCCTTCTCAGATGTCAGGCTCGCCCGAGGCTCTTTACCTGGTTCTTCCTTCTGTGCACTGGCTACCAGTCTCACCCTGGGCTCTGGAGGAGTCTCTGTGTTGCTTGGTGGTGACTTGTTTATAGGATGCATCCGGGAGAGAGCGAGCTGTAAGGGGCAGTGAGTGCAGAAATCCCATGAGTACCATAAATAGAACCACTGCCTTCAAATGTGGGAGAAAAGGGCCATCCCCAGTCCCATCTCATTGACTGCGACAAGCACTGGGATGAGCATCATCTCTACCCAAACCAGTGGGAATGATGCACATCTTTCCTCTGAGCTGAGTGGAAAACACCATTGCCAAAAACCTGTTGGTGACAAAACCACCTGTTTCCAGGGCATTTCAGCATGGGACATTAATTGTGATTGTAATGACACTGGCACTGAGCACCAGAATTCCAACAGGAGGGAAGGGGTTGGTGTGATGCCAACCTGAGTTGTACTCACCATAGCTGCCTCCTCTTCCTCTTCCTCCTCCTCCTCCTCCTTAATGGCACCAGGCTGCTCTGTGACCTGTCTCTGGGCAGCATCATGCCAGCAGCTGTGAGGCTGTGAGCTGTCCCGCTCCATCCCATGTCTTCTGCAGGAGCCATGCATGGGGCTGTCCCCTGGGTTCAGACATGGACTGGTGGCCTCCTGGTGCTTGATCCGTCCCATTCCCCTCCCACGCCCGGTGTCTGACAGGTCCAGTGGGACATCCATACCATAGTCTTTCAGTGCTTCCACCTTTCCTCGGTGCTCAGAGCCATCCCGGCTCAACCAGAGCACTCTCTCCACCTTCCCATCTGCAGCATCCTCCATCCTCTCCTCCTTGCATCCCACTGCGATGCTCAGGCATGGGGACAGTGGCCGCTCCTTGGGCACAGCTTTTGGCTCCCCATCCACCCTGACCCGATGGCTTTGCTGCTGCTCAAGATGTTGCAGCCGCTCACGGTGCTTGAGGAGGTGCAGCTTCCCCTCCAGGTGCTGGTCCCTCACATACACCACAGCTGCAGGGAGCTTCAGCAGGGCAGCTCTGTCATCCCAGTCATCACGTGGCCTTGTCCTGCCACCACCATCTGTGGCCCTGAGCAAACGGCTGTGGAAGCTGCTGTCCCCATCGGATGGAACGCAACCACTTGCCAGCCCCAGCTGGTGCAGGGCGAGGTGCTTGTTGAGGAGGCAGAGCTGCTCTTTGCGGGCAGTCAGCTTTAGGCTTTCATAGGATGGAGCAGTCTTGGGGGAGATTGGCTTGGTTGTTGTTAAGTAACTAAAAGATATGGGAAAGAAATCACATTTTGGGGGGAACCTTTGTGATTTTCCAGCTCCTGCAGGTGGTGGTGGGGATGTGGTGACCACTTACTGCTGCTGAGAATCATAGAATCACAGAATCCTTAAGGTTGGAAAAGGCTCTAAGATCCCCAAGTCCAACCCCAATCCACCCCACCATGCCCTTTGACCACATCCATCAGTGCCACATCTCCATTGTTCCTGAACATTTCCTGGGCAGCCTGTGCCTCACCAATCTTTTTTTGAGAAGAATTTTTTTCTTCTTCAGTATTCAACCTGGACTACTCCTGGAGCGAATTACAGCCAGTACCTCTTGTCCTGGAAGCCACCAGCCAAGCCAGACCGTGCATCCAGAGGCCCCCTGCCTCCCAGCATGGCTGTCCCCAGACTCTCCCAGTGGCTTGAAGGATCTGATGACAGAGGAGCGATCCCCAGCCCCACTCTGGAGCAGATCTCTCAGCAGTGCCAAGGAGGCAGCGCTGTGCATGAACCTGCCCATGCAAACTGAGTCCCTGATGTTGCTCTTCACTTGGCAAGTGCCCTGTGTGTGAGCAGTTCTCGGGAATGCACGGCAGATCCCTCCCACTGTGGGCAGCTGGCAGTCTGCAGCCAAACAGCTTCTTGTGCTTCCAAAATCAATGGGGAGGAGAAGCCCTGGGAATCGCTGAGCCCTGCATAAAAGCCCATTAGAATAGATAAGGAGCAGCACGGACTGCTGCCTCCTGCTCAGCCAGGTCCTTACTCTGCAGGCTGGGGACAGGCGCCTGGGTCTATCTGAAGGTGAAGTAACACGAGACTGGACCGGTTGAGTTGGATTCCAGTCATTTTTCTCAACTGGGAGACCCTCCCCTGTTCCCTGAGGCTGTGGGCATTGTGAGAAGTGTGGACAAGAAGGTGGACAAATAGGGATCACAATTTAGGTGCTGCCTAATGGGGTCCTGCTCCTGCAAGGGGCACAAGCAGAGGACTCACGGCTCCAGGCTGGGGCTGCGTTCCTGCTCTGGTGGCAGTGGGGTCTTCCTGGCCGGTGGAGACACTGCAGCCCTCGAGGGACTTTTCTCCAGGCTGTGCCTCACCAGGGCGATGGTGCCGTGCAGCTGGTTGGCAATTCTCTGGGATGCCTGCAAGGAAAAGTGGGGTCAGGCAGTGGGATGTGTGCTGGGGCTCTGAGAGCACCATGTGGCTCTGGGAGCTGTGCTGGGTGCAGACCCAACTCCTCGCCAGTGGTAACAGAAACTGCTCCTGCTGTTCCGTACCAATGACACCCCATCAGCTTTTACAACAGCTCCCACCTCAGAGGTGGCAAGAAGTGATTTGACATAATTCCAGTCAGTGGCTGAATCTTAATTGTTTTGGCTTTCCCAGGAAAGCTTCCCTTTGTGTTTTCCTCGATATTCTTTAATTTCTGGCTGCACTGATCTGTGGCCAAAGAGACCACATCCCTTGTCTCAAGTCAGCGGCTTAACCAAGATAAGACCCTGCAAATTCCCCAACCATTGCTCAGGACTCTGGGATTCATTCCATGCTGCTGGTATTTCTTTGGGGGTGCATTTCCAGCAGAGACCCAGCAGTGAAGCCAGGACATTGCAATCCCATCTGCTGCGGAAGGCTCACCACGTGTTCTGACTCGACTTCTCCCTGCTTAACAGAGATGTCACCAGTCCTTCCTGTGATCCCCACATTAATTATCCTTGCAGCCTGCCGGCAGCCTCACCAGAACCTCACTTCACCCACTCCTTCAGGTTTTCTGCACAGTTCAGCTAAGCAAAGGCTGTGCTAAAACAGAAGCGGCTGTGTGGGTGTGTGTGTGGGCTTGGGTTCCCATGGCGAGAGCAGGGCTCCAGGTCCTGCAGCCTCATTTCCCAGTGCCCAAAATCATCATATCACTCAGCATCCCTCAGCTGATACATGCTCTGTGCTTCAAAGGCATGGCTGGCTTGTATCTACACACAAAATGGTAACCAGTGAATGCCAGTTCCTCTGCAAACACCACTGTTCATTATGCTGCAGATGGAGAGATATCCGCGATGCTCTTGGGCAGGTCTGCTGTGCTGCATTTGTATTCTGTATATCCAAAATCTCCACCATTCACATGCTCTCCAGGCTTTGCCATCATTCACAGTGCTGCAGCCTCTTGTTCCTGATTATCACTTAGAATAAGCTGCACCAATACATGAGTTGAGATGATCTCCTCATGAGAAAGATTTTCTCAGCAAGAGAGGAGCCATTGTGTTGGGGAGGGGACTCAGGGGCACTAGATGTGTTGTCATGAAGGGCAAACTGAAGATGTACTCTCCTATAACAAGGAACAGAAGCCTATGATAAAATCTAAAGGATTTGCTAGCAGATAGTGGCAATTCCTGCAAAGCATGCACCTATCGTTGGGTTTTCCTCCTTATCCCTGGCAACAGCATTCTGCCCAATTCTAGGTAGTTATTTTACCCTCTTAAGTATTTCCTACTCATTCTCCATCCGTTTCAACCCCTTCTCACCCAATGCAAACAGGGAGCAGCCCTGGGCTCCCTCTGTCTACTCACCATTTCTGCCAGGCTGGCTTCTTGGAGGATAGTGCTTGGGGAAATCCTGCTGCAAGGAGAGCTTCTCTGTCCTGTGGTCTTCTCTGCAAACAAAAGACAAAACCAGCCTCTGGAACAGTCCCACTGAACTGAAAATTCCTTCTGGTTTTAGCAAGTATATGAATGAATGGACTCTCCATTGCATGCATAACTGGCACCAAAGCAAACATATGGTCTCTGCACCATATGAGTGGTGGCTGCATGCCTGCACAGAACCTGTCTTAGAGCAAGAGCACCCAAACACCCCCAGCTACTGTTTGCACAAAGCAGAGCAGCATAATTGTCCCTATTCCATGTGAGCATCCATCTGAGCTGCCAGCAGCTTGCTCTATGCTCTCCAGGCCCATTCCTTGAGTAGTTCTGCCCCATGGCTCAGCCACTCTGTCTCATCTCCAGGACCCCAGGCGGGTGGTTGGACCACAGCACCCACCTTCCCCCAGCTCGAGGCCCGGCACACCATGCTGGGAGTCCTCTGCTGCTCCAAGAACAAATCTGTCGGCGCTGGTGTTCCTGCTAGTGGGGGACAGTAATGGCAGCGGGGAGCTGGGTGTGGAGCTGTGCTCCCTGGAGATGGCTCCTTGGTACTTGATCCTGTCCCTGCAGAGAGCAAAAAGACACAGAGGGATGAGAAGGGATGGGAGAAGGGAATCATCAGTTTGAGAGCCACTGTAGCAGCAGCTTTGAGTTACAGAACCTGATGTGTAAATATACATATTTATATATCATGTGGATAGACTGGATCTTCAGCATCACCTCCTTCCCTTTCAGGTTATCACTGGCTTGGCTGCAGTCCGCAGCATGAGACAGAGCCAGCATGACAGCTCAAGGTCTGATTTCCCCACCTGCCCATGGGTAATGATATGGGGAGCCACGAAGTTGGGTAAGACAAAACCCCATTGCAGTAGTTGCAAAAGCTCTGTGATCTGTACATCCCTGTCTGGTGTAGGGCTGGATTCAGAGCTCCCAGTGTCACCATTCTGAGATAGTGTATCCCTTGGAGGGAGCTGCTTTGAGTCTGAGCCCCACACTTTGGTCACCAACCAAGTCCTGACCAGACCTTGATGCCAAGACATGGGTGTTTGGTTGGAACCTTCCAATGCAGCAGCCCAGGGAAGAGCAGAGCTCGGTGCTTAGCAAACCCAACAGGATCAGCAGCTCCCAAACTGCTCAGACCTTGAAGAGCATCAGAGGATAGAAGTGAGTTTCTCTTTAAGCAGGCAGTGCTTCTGAGCTCCAAAGAAAACACATTTCTAAACTAATCCCTCGGTGCTAATTCCTCTGGACTTTAAGCCCTTGAGGAATGAGCTGATTTGTATGTATCAGCCTGCCTGGCAGGTTCCTTGGCTTTCAGCATTAACCTGCTGGAGCAGGTCTTTCCCTTGTTATCACTGGATCCCCATGTTCCCAAAGACTCAGCTATTGGGTGAATGAGAAGAGGGGAATGAGCAAGGCTCAATGAGGACTTGGACCTTTAAAAGTATTTTGCTGTCTTAATGCCTACAGGAAACTATCCCTGTGGACACAAAGGTCCAGACGTAGCCCTGCTCAGTGGTAGGAAAGCCACACCAGCACCCTGTGCCATGGATGACATTCAGAGAGCACTTACTCTGGACTCTGGAGCCTCTTCAGTTCTTCCTTGAGAGTTTTGTTCTCCTCCTTCAGGCGGCTCATCTCATTGGCTACAAAGAAACACCAGGAGAGCCACAGCCTTTGGGTGCTGAATGGAGCAGGATGGTGCTTGACCTCTTATCTCTCCTTTTTCTGGAGATACAGAGGGCTGAAACCCCAGCTCCAGTCTTCATGTGTAGCTGTCAGACGTGATTCCTCAGCACCTCCATGCTTCCATCACTCCCTCCCTCCCTTCTCCCCATCACCAAACTCCTCCTGCTTGTTCAGCCACTGAGTGGCTCTCTGCAGGTATCAGAACAGCCCCAATAAGCCAAATCTGAGCTTACAGCAGACCTTGGTACCTACTGAGAATGAAGATGTGCTGGAGGCTCTGGAAATGGGAATTTTCATATTCATTCTGCTTCTTTTTTGCCAGCTCCTGGGTGACCATGCATCTGTCACAGAGACCTGCTCGCAGCCTGGATGAAAACCCATGGTTGGGAGCTTGTTACCATGCATCCATATGGGGAAATGGGACTGTGCCTGTGCAGTATAGTGCACTCCTCACCATTACCAGGAGATATGAGTGACACCAAGTAGCTGACCATGAAACCCTACCTGTTCTCCAGCACTTTTACATTTTCTTTGAGGACCTTCTGTTGTTCCCTTAGTTGGTGGTTTTTAGCAAACAACTCTTCAATTCTCTGGGCATCGCTAATGCAAGAAAAGAGTCAAGAAAAGAGAGTTACTGGGCTTCTCCCAATACCTATGGCTTCATTCTCAGTGCCTAGACTGTGGGAAGGGTTTCTGCTCTGAGCCCACTGTACTGCTTGCACTGCTGGTGCTTAAATTTGGCACTGCCAAATAGGTGAAGGATGCTCCCTAAAACAGGGAAACACCTGCTTAGGGCTGTAGGCACCTCTGTGATGCACAGAAGTGCCTGGAAGTCTTTAAACCCATCCCCTCCACCTGCTGGGACATCGACACCGCAGGCATTGCTCACCGGCACTTCTCTGTCGTCAGCTCCGTTAGCTTTGTTTGCAGACCTGGAACAAGGAACAGAAATGGAGAGATGGAGAGATGGGTGCTAATTGCAAATCCCACAGGACCTCAGAAACAAAAGGCAGCCACCTGACTTCTGCCTGAAAGGAACTTCTACGCTTTGCAAACCACATACCTGAGAAAGACCAGCACGCATCCTGCACCAAACGACACCGCAGTTTGACATAACTGGCAAAGCTGTACAGCATGGGAGCAGGTTTTGCATTTCCACTGTTTAATGGATTTGCATTTCCCCTCCTCCCCCAAAAGTCTGTTACAGTTTTGTTTCTGGTTCTTTTAGCTACAGCAGACGTTTCCCAGGTGGGCAGTATTTTATAGCTCTGGGGGCTGCGAAGCGTCTCGGAGAATATTTACAGCTCAACAAGAACACTTTCATTGATGGATCTGCAGATGTTACGTTTTGTCAAATCCATTTTATGCAAAATAGATGTAAACATGTGGTTTAGATTGCTCAACAGTTTCCTCTAACTCTCCCGTGGCCCGAAATCACAAAGACTAAAATGAATTCATAAGCCAGAATCTTCCAAAAGCGCTGTTGCTTTGTTCATAATGCTGACACTGGGAATTGTTTTAATAGGAAAGCAATTGGATTTGGCATTTGCTTCCTTAACTGAACGGTTCTTACTTTAATGATGTATGACTGGGAAATTCCCAAGAGGAATAAACTATCTAAGGTTTTCCACAACACGGCATTGAATTCTTGTTGCTTCTTCCTTGTAGACCACTGTGTCTTTCCCATTCCCTCTTTCCCTCAGCATCCAAGCTGTATCCCAATAAGATGGAGGAAACACACCATCAGAGGGTTATTTGAAACCAAACAAAAAAGGAATGGACTTTGGCCAGCTGTTAAGAAGACTTCTCACGTCTCCTTACCTTGAACTTCTTTTTCATGGATTTCCTTGAGCTTGTTCAAGAATTCTGCAAAGCTCTCTGTGGTCATGTTCAGGGCTGTGCCGTGCTCCTGGGTCACACACAAGGATGTCCTTTTGTTTCAGATTACTCAGATTTTAGCCTAGAACAGAAAAAAAATGTCCAATAAAAAATCTATCTTGTGGATATTTGGTTGGACTACATGATCTTAGTGGTCTTTTCCAACTTGAATGGTTCTACAATTTTATGATATGGTGTTTTGCTAAGCCTTAGAAAGAGGACAAAGAAATACCTTCCCAAATGTAGGAAGTAAAATTATTTGCTCACCCACACATGCAACAAGAGCGGTGTGTTCACTGGGGTTTTCTCAACAGTGCACCCTGAATCAGTCCAGAGCTGGGAGCACAGACAGAATAGTGATGGCTTGAATAGTAGGAACACCACAACAGATAAAATCAGGCTTTTCCTCTACTTTTGGGGACTGTGGGGCTCTATGTGGGGAGCAGGACTCGTGTCCCATGCTGCTGGGAGAAAAGTCTCTGTAGCTGTAGGGCTGGAGCCTGATAGCTCTATAAATGCTTGCCTGATACGCACCGCTCGACTGCCCAGCTGCCATCGCCCTGGCTGCCCTGCTGCCTCCTTGCACCTGGGGAGACACCAAAACCAGAACCATTAGTCCTGTTCCTGTTTTCCAGATGCTTGGAGAGAAGGTTGAGTGAGTCCGTGGCCCCACAGAACCATGGGGAGGGCTCAGGTCTCTGCCCCCCCTGCCTCTGCCTTGGTTTACCCATTGATGCTGTGGGGTTAGGGTCAGCGTTAGTAAGCCGTGGTACCCCCAGTTCAGTAAGCTGTGAATGATAAGATTGTAGGGGTTGGAAGGGATCTCTGGAGATCATTCAGTCCAACCCCAAAGGCACCAGGTAGCCATCAATCTGAAAAACAAGTGGCAGGTTGTAAAATCTGCCCTAACCCCAGTGATCACGAGCTCTGATGTTGCCAGCAGGGATGCTGACATTGATCTAAACTTTCTCCTTCCAAAATGGGGATGCTTAGCCAAAACCTTGGGCAGTATCAGGATATGACAGTGGTCCCCCAGATAGCTGTGATCCCTCCTGGGCCAGGCAGTGCTGTTGAGCAGCACGTATACAGATGTCACTTGGAGCATTGCAGAGGGTCCCCCGCTTGCTTTGGGTGTGTGATTTGTGTGCCCTGGGCCAGCAAACCCCACACAACAGGGAGAACCCAGAAACCCCACGGCAGCATGGGAAGAGTTCTGCAGCTGCTGCACGCTCCCCATCCCTGCCGGCACCTGCGTGCCTTTATCTGCATGCAGAGCAGAGGTGTGCCTGAGCGCCTGCATATGCAAGATGTGGGCATGAAGAGCTGGAAGGAGAAACTTTCCCCTAAAGGGTCTGATTTTAAAAAGAAATTAGGCACGCGCCAGTGAGCACAAGCAGCAGGCTGGGCTTGCGTGCTCTCACCACGCTCAGCTCAGCGTGACAGAGACTAAAATACAGATCAGAAACTCAGCTGCAAAACCACACTCTTAGAACATGAACATCTGAGCAGCTCCCCTTGCCTTTTGAGCATAAAAATGTAAGAAAAAACATTGCTGCCCCTTCTGTGGGCAGAAAGCAGCCTGTGCCAGCAGTGGGTGATGTCTCCCGAGCACACACAGCTTGTTGCAGCTCACACAGCCAACAGGCTGCTCGGGATCAGCCACCGTGAAATGGGATTGGGAGCTGATCTCTTCTGCTCAACCTCAAAAACCACTGCTTAACAATGAGCCAGGTGAAATAATACCCAGCTCATCTCTGACAAAAACCTGATGAAATGATGTTAACAAGGACACCATCTGTGCAGCTGGCAGCCTCTTGGAGTTGCTGAGTCCTGAATTTGGGGTGAGGGGGAGATGGGGAGGTTCACCGCTGCCTGGTAGGGTGCCGGTGGGAAGACTTTGAAGTGCTGAGGGGTGGGATGGCTTTGCACCTGGAAGCTGAGCATGTGCCATGGTGTGGGCTCCATTCTGGCCTTCCAGCACTGGATCGGCCCCTACTCACACTGCCCTGTCTCACTGTCATCATCCCCATCTATGGCACTCAGGGCTGAGGCTGGGATGTGCCAGGTAGGAGATATCTGGGTTGGGATGTGGGGGGAGCCGGCTCCAAGCCCCAAAAACAGTGCAGGCTGCAGGCAGCAGGCAGCTGCTGTGAGTCAGTGCTGTGGGCAGAGCCTGGTGGGTCAGGATCCGGGCTGTAATTTTGGCTGGGGTGTAGGCAGCAGCCTTGCTCCCCTCACACAGCTCCAGTAGGGCTGGGACTCTGTCTTGGTCTTTTTCTCAGTGCTCCTGAGTCAGCAGTGGATATGCCTGCCTGGGGATTTGATTTTGAGGCTTTGGATGAAAAAAGCTATGTAGATTTTTGCTGCTTTTTTTGAGATGCTAGCATCCATCCCTGTCTGCAAAAGGGGCCTGCAAATGGGACTGCCATTGCAGCAAGCCTGGAGGAGAGTTTTGGTCTCTGGTCTGTGTGCAACCACAGTTACTATGAGACACCGTATGAGCATTGTTCCCCTCTCCTCTGTACCCAGGATTTGGCCTCTTGCCATGCAGATCAGCCCCACGGACCCCCGAAGTTTTTGAGGAGTTCAATTTTCCTCCTTCTTACATTACATGGACCAGCTCAGGTGGGAATCCACATCCACTCACTCCTCCGACCCACTCGGGAGCATTTATTGAGAAAGATTTATCATTGAAGATTAGACCACAGAATCCCTGTGTCAGGCTTTTCACTTGCAGCCTTGAGCCCTTCTCAGAACTGTCACCATAATTTACACAACATGGTGCTGGATGCTGCAGGGCCAGCAGCAGCTCCTCGGTGCACTGCTGGCATGGGACCACGCGTATCTCAGAGCCATGGGTGCCCTCTGTTTGCAGAGCCCAGTGTTGGGGCCAGCCCCCATATCTGGCTGCTTTGGAAAGAGAGCCAAGGCTGATGCTTGCTCTCCATACCCATGGCTGGGGGGATGATTTGTCATCCCCTGCTATGGGGTTTGGGAAGTGATGGGCTTGAGCAGCACTGCCTGTTTCAGAAGAATGAAGCAGTTCTTTGGCTAAACGAGCTTAAGTCATTCAAAAATAAATAAATTCAAGACTCTGAAGTTCTGACAATATCAGATCAGCTCAGCTTAATGGATTTACAATGAGGTATTTCCTCATCAGCAGTACTGGAGAGGTTCAGCTTCAGCCCGGGTTTATGCAATACACTTTTTGCTGTGAGACTGCTGGGCAGAACTGTCTTCATTAGCCAGGCTATTTTTTCTTGGCCACCCTCAATGTTCCAGTCTAATTTTACAAATAAATTAATTTATTTAATAATACAAAAATAGCCTCATCAGTCATGGAAAATCTGTAGGGCCCTTGGCCCATTGGGGGATGCTTCTTTTTTCTCTAACACCTGTGGCAATCACCAAAGTGCTGGGGATTTTCCCCTATTATATTATTATTTCCCCAAATCCCTCACCTGGACACACACTCAGGCCCTGCAGCTGTGCCATGGTGTTGCCTGGAGCATGGTGGGATTTGGGCAGAGGCATGGGCAGCTCGGGAAGCCTGGGCAAGGATTCAAGAGATGGTTTAAAGGAGTCCCTTATCTGCCTGTGCATCTCGGGATAACCACTGCTTCTATAAACATCGCTTAATTAACACCTCAAAATGCTCTGGGAAATGGGTAATAAAGCATTATTGCGTTTTTCAGGTGTTTTAATTGAGAAGTGGTGAGGCTCAGGGAATAGCTCAAGGCTCTGTCGGGAGCAGAGGTGCACCCACAGCACCCGAAAGTCCAATGCTTTCACAGCGTCTCCCTGCCCAAAGCCCCCATCTGTGCGCAGCAGGTGGGAGCAGCCCTGGGAAGGGCTGGGGATAGATGAATGGATGTTGTGCATGGCACCCGGAGCACCTTGGGCATGAAAATCCATCCTAACCACACTCACATAAACTGGCATCTCTGCACCTGCGTGCACGAGCATTCCGAGTCAGTTCAACGTGAAAGAAAAGGGTAAATTTCCTTCTGCTGGACATGATGTGGGTAATGAAGTTCTTAACTGAATCCACTTTTCTCCTCAATGCTGTTTATAAAAGGAAAACACCTGCAAACAGGTGCTGGTGGAGATGAGGGGCTTCTGCCCTCAGGAGCTTGTGGGGCCTCATGTTCTGGGTCTGGCTCTGGGAACCCTGAGAATAGGCATGCCCCAATAGGTTGCCCAAGGAGCCCCTGCTGATGGGGTTCCCCAAGGCAGATGCCCTATGAGGATGCTCTGGGACCCCCTGCAGCTGGAGATGCCCAAAAGGAGATTCTCAAGTGGGAATGTCTCAGAAACTCCTACTGGTGGGGATGTTCTGACGGGGAATTGGCTGCCTGACCTGGGACAAAGAGGGCTGCAAGAGACCATTTGTAGGGGACTGCTCTACATGAACCACACTCACAGCCTTGGAATAATTTGTGCTTTGGATTTCCCTTCATATACCACGTGGTCATTCCAAGTCAATGATGGCACAAATCTCTGACTCGCAGCACAGCTCTGGTATTATGGCCAGGTCCCTACTCACCACTCAGCCCCACACAATGCCGACTAGAAGCAGGACAGCCTCAGCCAGGCATTTTTATGGGTTGAGGCATCTCTGCTTTTCCCAAATACTTGGTGACACATTGCTGATGGGGACACTTTGCCCAGGCTGAGTTTTGAAGCAATACTGAGAACTGGTGTCCCTCACCAAAGCACTCAGAAGGATGTGTGCTTTCAGTGCCTTAAGAAAGCATTACCCATCAGGGCATTACCCCCAGGGCGTTCCCCATCACGGGACCAATGCAGCAGAGGGAATGAGCAGCAGGCAATGGACACAGCACCTTGCTCCCCCTCCACCCTCCGATATCCCTATCCCTTCCCTCAATCTGGATGTAAGGTAGGGGAGAGAAGAGAGGGCACAAAAGCGTGGGGGCTGCTCTGTATTCCCAGCAATAGAAGTACCATTGATTTAGGGTAAGAAAATTGGGATAGGAAGCAAATCTGATTTTGGGAGCTA